TTAGATCGCTTTGCCCTCTTGGGCGCAGATTCCTTCACCTCAGACTCAGTCTTGTTGGCTTCCTTGGACTTCTTGGGTGCAGTCTCCTTCCCATTGTTGTTGTCATCCTTTTTCTTGCCACTGCCACGCCCCTGGCCGCGGCCATTTTCTTCGTCCATCAGCGAGAATTCATCGGTTCCAAGTTGTTCTCGCCGAGTCACGAGTGGCACCTGAAGGGGTGATTGCAAAGAAGGTTCCCAGTGATTCCATCTTCAACTAGAAACCAGTTGCGAAGGTTCATGAGTGCTCACCATTTAGCCGCTTAGCCACTGAATGTTGAGACCCACCCACCTCCCCATTCAACAGATCCACCTCTTGCTCAGCTGGCTCCTCTGCAGGAGTTTGCTTGGTTGACATCGAGGACGAGGCCGGAGCAGTACCGAATGACGAGGCCGGTGCAGCCGCTGGCTCTTTCAACTCAGTGGGGGGAAGCTTTGGAGGGCCATGCGCTGCAGAGGGTTCCTGCGCTGTCTCAGGAGCTGGTTTTGACTGAAGTACTTTTCTGACGGTGATCCTCCTATCGAACTTTATCCCAATTTGTTTTTGTTCTTTTTTAACAGCCCTTTTTCGACCTTGAAAGGGCCTCCGTATCCTCCACCAAAATCGTCTCGAAAGAAGTCATACCCAAGGATCCGTCCGGTGTCTCATAAGGCAAAGTCTCAATGTTGTCGATATCACCTGGGCAACCAGTGATCGGGTGAATTAACTAAATGACTAGACCGCAACTACTTAGGAGATCTTAGGAGGGCCTTTTGTAGCTAAACATTTTCCAATTTTGACAATCAGTCCAAGTTGCCCAACACAGCTGAACTCTTCAAGCGAGCTAAGTTCTCCTTCTCCTTGGATTCCATCTTTGCCCTGTAGGGTCGGAAACTTTAAAACGTTTCAAAGTCAAGAGACTTGGTCAAAAAAGATCTTTGGCCATCTCTGGAACTCCCCATGGTGAACTAACTGTTTGAGGAGGTGGATGGTGGATTCCCACATGTTTACTCCAAGGGATGGCTGAGCTATTTCCCCCACTGTGTCCGGTTCTAGAGTCTAGAGTTTGCTTTTGTGGACCCCACCTCAATTCAGCAAGCCTGGACCGGATTTCTTCCTTGCGTTTGAGCTTTGAAGGACTGAGCGGAGCTGGTGGTGGCATTGAAGACAACGATGAAACCGTTGCAGCCCCAGCGCTATCAACGGGCGTTGCTTCGTGATGGGTTCCATCTCCATTCAAAACCTCCAGGGGAGCCTGCGGGTCTTCATTGTCACACGAGCCCTGAATGAGAGAAGAGTCAAAAGGATCCTGCGAGTCCTCAACGTCAGGGTACTCGTAAACAGTGGCCTGTGAATCCTCGATGAACTCGACGTCGACAGGTTTTGCCTGCGGGTCAGGTGTCTCCCCTGTGACTGTATCTCCACGGGTTCCCCCACCTTGAAGCACAGTCCCGCATCCATCTTCATGCTCAAGACTACTCTTCGGTGGTGGTGTATCCTCCAGTTCAGTAGTTGTTATGGAACTATCGCCATCCTGAACCTCATAGACATCAGCCTCAACGGCCTCCTCATGAGCCTCAACGGCCTCCTCATCAGCCGCCCCATCCATAATGGCTAGTGGGGGGTTGTCATCATTGGCGGCCCTCAAAGCATCGCCGTTCTCATCTGCACTTGGAGTGCCCCAAGCAGCAGTGAAGATGCACCAAACAGAGTTCAACGATGATTCCTTGACTGGGTGATGTGTTGCGGCTTGTTGCGACTATTGGGATGTTCTTGCCCAAAGTAAGTTCCCTTGGTGGAAAGGACTAGGAAAGCAGTGTTGCAAAATTACTATTGAAAACTTCAGGTAAGACATGGTAAGACTCCCTGGGTGCAGTGCTCCCCGTCAGCCACCTTCGCAAGGCATGGGAGAAGAGCCTTTTCACGCCCCATGCATCCAAGTTGACCTTCCCTGCATCTTCAGGCAAAACGAGCTGTTTCCTCCACTCTGTGACCTTCAAGGCGCTGGGTGGGGCAGGAGGCAGATGGAAGCACAGAGAAGAAAACAAAACCAATTCAACAAGTGTGGGTGATACCACTACCAAACTTTTGTTCCCTAAACCGCCCTACCTCGGCACGCAGCAAGTCTATTGGGATGGCAGCCGGTTGAGTGCAAAATTGGACCCACCATGTTGCTGTCAGCTCCAGCGCTTCAGCATTCAGGGAACATGCTTTCATTGAAGCAATCCCTGTGGTTTTGGGACTTGGCCAAACGGTGATGCTATCATTCAACCTCCCTCGGTTGCGAAGCAACGGGCTTTGTTCCCAATCGCTTGCCAAAGGCATGGTCAAAGAACTGAGAACTAGCAGAGAGCAAGCTGATCTTTTGAGCCCAACAGATCCTAGAGACTCCATGTTCTATGAAGTTCTTGGTGCAAGTGGGGCAGCAAAAGACCACTAGACTAGAGATCATCAATTCCAGTCCTGAGGTATCCATGGCCCAACCAGCACCACCGTGCGGGTACCTGACGAGGCAATTTGATGATGCCTTGCGCACGTCTGTGTGCATTGGAGAGCGCAGCTGACTGCAGAAAAAAACAACGGGCGCACATCTCGAACTTCCAAGAGCCAGGATTTCCATTGGGAGTGATAGAGTGCTAAATCCTTTTGAAGGTGTGTTTGCACTCCTCATCGAGTGAACTTGGTTGTGTTCACAGTGGTGATCATTCCATTTGGTTGCACCATGTTAAGATAGTGTGCATCATACGTTCGCTAAACCCAATGTCAGGCTGTATGTCCTGATAGCAAGGCTTTGGAGCCACCAAGCTCATTGATTGGACAGAAAGACCAAAAAACGCTCGGGATCAAAAAAACAGTACATGCCCAAAAAAACGTTTTTCTCTGAGAGAGCAATAAAAAGACATACATGGGAAGACGTAGGTATTATGCATTTTCCAAACAATAACCACCCCGTGTGTGTGTTTTGCCTTTTTTTTGCATAATCTTAGTCATAATCGTTGACCAGCTCCAGGGGGTGCCGCTCGTGAAAACGGGTACCACCCAATCCTCTTTTTGGGTCACTTGGGATTTGAGCAAATTGCTCCAGTCTGCACCACCCTCTCTCCGGCAGTGATAGGACTGCAGTTCAGTCGAGCCGGAAGCTGGGGGGCTGTACAGACTTAGTGCAGGCTGAGAGGAGGAGAACGATCCCCTTCCCAAAAAAGAAACATAATACTTCACAAGATTGCACCGTTGTTCAAAAATGTCCAGAAGCTTGCATCTGCTGGTGGCAGTTGAATCAGGAAAGGGTGCTTTATAGACACTCCCCTGACTATGCATGTTCCTTCCAATAACCAACCAGCCTCTCTGGGTGGTGCTGGATGGGCTCGCTTCGTATGAGCACATGGGCTTTGTATCTGCTCCTCTTCGATTGAGCGATTTCCACGGAGCGATCGAGGTCCTTGCTATAGCATCTCCTGCCTCATCGACCCAGGTCAGGTCAGGCGACCACATCACGACCCACTGGCGCCGGTGGGCGACCGAAGAACTCTGAGTTCCGGTTGAAATGGAGAAGAACCATGGATTGAGGGGTTCGATGGCATCCCCAATGTTGGTGGTTGATATGGACCCGTATATAAAAGACATCTACTCTCAATCCACTGTACTGGAAATCCCCCCCCCCCCGGCTCTCGTGACCGGACTTCGCCGTCGCGAACCGAACCGGAAATCGCACGAGCTCTTAGGTAACCCCGCTACCCGTCTGAATTCACTCAAGGTTTCGACCATTTTCCGAATACCAACCCCCCCCCAGTGGTTTTGGGGTTCCATGAAGTTCCAAGAGTGGGGGCGCCACTCCTCCGGAAGTAGAAGAGCCCAAGCGTCCATGTACCTCCAATCATGGGCGATGCTCGTGCGCCAAAGCCGTGCATGCTCCAGCTCTTCCTCGACATCCACACCAGCGCCAGCAAAGTGCTCTGAGAACAAGATCGTGGAGAACATGGCCTCACGGGCTTGGAGTCCTTGGCCTTCTACTACCTCAATGGCCACCCAGATCCGCCCATATATAGATCCCCAAAGAGGTAGAAGTTCGTGTCGTAAATCCCCACTTTAAATGTATTGGAAACGGTTTCTGTCTATTATTTAGTATTGGGGGACCACTATAACTTAACAACCAAGGAAATAACAAGTCCAAGGAAAATCGGGTAAATCCAATGGATTCTGGTTTCGGTTCTTGGCCTTGCTGCAGGGGATTGTTCCATACACCAAGCAGCTACCTCGATGTGATTGTCACATGACTCACCGCGGTGACGTCGATGTGAGGGTGTCGCTCTATCATCTGGCCTGGTTCGCCTAAATGACCTCCAACCTGCCCGAGACTCGACTTCCAAACGGTCAAAGCCACCAGCAAAGTTGCACTCCTCCAGTGCTGGGTTTTTTACATCCACCCGAAAATGTCTTGACCTTGAACTACTATTTTACTCACGCCTCCTCGCCACTTGCACCACGCGTCCTCGCCTGCATGCCGATGTTGACGATCAGCAAAATGGACGAGAACAGGACGTCCCACAAGCCGCTCCGGAAATCCAGGATCAACGGGAGATTCCAAACGCTTCCACCGAAGTCCACCTGAAGCCCAGCGGGGGAACCAATGCAGTCGCGAGGCGCCGAGAAACAATGCTGTTTTTGGATGTGTTTGGGGGTGTTTGCCCTCAAGATACGTAGTGCGCGCTTCTTATACACACACATAAATATATATATATACACACATATATGCGCATATCATATATTGTCCGTATACTCCATACTATTCAAGAGAGGGAGGAGCAGCAAATTCAAGCTTCTATTTCGGAATGCGATGGAACGTCTGCGGCAAAAATGGCATTCCTGTGGCTCCAAGTGTTGGCTTTGGCCTAACTGGCAGTTGGGCCACGGAGGTATGACTGGATGTTTCAACTTCCCCCACTTAGCGAGGAGCGTCCCAGGCAGGGTGATACATATATTCAAATACAGATTTCCTGAATTACAGGAACTCCGCTATGGAATTCGATTGCCAGGGCCAGGGTGGTCAGCAATGCCTTACTCTTGCACGTCCAGATTCACCCTCCGTAAATACATGTAAATACTCTTCATTACTCTTCCAAGAGGGGCCTTGCATCATAGAGCAGCTCAGTGCACCCCACATTCGCCACCCCCCACATGGTACCACATCTCCTTCACCCCGCTTTGGCCTTGTAAGGAGAATCGGCTTCTCGGGCCGGATGCTCAGTGGGCGCATCAATCCTTAAACTCATCTCTGAGCTGAGCTGATTGGTCATCTGACTGCTGACCTGCTGGGTGACCGAATTGCTCTCCTTCGAGGGCCTTGAGGCGCGGCCTTTGTCAAGATGCTCCTGCAGGGCGGATCTGGAATGGTCCCGATCCTCTCAGGAGTGAGCTCGAAGGCACTGGTGGACTCCAAGGGTGGTGAGTTGAATGAAATGCAATCAAATGCCTCACAAGAAGGAGATATAATGAGATATATAGGCCAGGTAAGGGATGGTTAAGGCTTGACAATGGTTATTCGCACCTTCTGCATTTGGAGCCCCCGGGGCGCCAAATGAAGGCTTTGCGGCTTGTGCCCTAAAAAGGCATTACCGCGACGACTACGGCCGCGCGGTGGTCTGCGACCGGTCGTGAGCGGTGCCTCCTTGACCTTGAGTCCCAGCTGGGCATCCAGGAGATTCAAACGTTCCTGGAGCTTCTCAATGGCCTGATTTCCAGCGGCGCGGCGCCCACCGGCGGCACCCACCGCCGCTCCCAGGCGCGGCGGAGGGGAGGTGTGATTGGAATTGGGGATTCATCTGTTTCCTTTGGACATGGCCTTCTATGAACATGAAGCGTGCTGTGGGGGAAACCCAAGGCCCTATAGGGGCTGCCCCAAGAGTCTGCGAGTGAGTTACTGCATTTTGGGGGGCATGGTGAGAAGAATTTCGCTCACCTGGGTGCCACGTAGCTTTCTCCACATGCTTTCTCGGCCGACTTGCGCTCCGACGGCCGTGCTCCCGTGTGATTCAGTGCATCCGTTGTGCATGACCGGCATGGTCATGCCACGAGTTGAGTAGAGGTATAGACCCTGGGAGTCCAAGACTGCAAAGACTATCTATAAAATGAATTGTCTTTATAACCCAGACAAGAAGTTCCATTGACTCCCAGCGTGTATATGCGTTCCAAATTGGATACGGATCGTCGCTGTGGATATGGCATCTCAGAAACTCACTATGTAACGTAAACATGGCCTTGGCCGACGCGGTACGATGTTCATTCATCGAAATCCCCAAAGGGACCCAGGAGTGGATGTAAAACTATTCTGGAAAAAGTAAGACAAAGCATGAAAAAGCTATACAGGGTCCCCTAAGGGGTGTCCAATAATGACCCCTTAGAGGTAGGGGGGCCCGGTGCTAATCAACATGTCTCAAATGTTTAAGGTCAGCTTTCCCCGCCTCCAGCACTGAGTCAAACTCCTCGCGCCGGACCCAGACCGGCGCCTGGGTCAATGGAACATCGTGGAACAGCGGATCAAAGGAAACCAAAGAAAGCGTCACCAGCCACTGCCGGACATTTTGGACTTAGCAACCTTGGAACCTAGTGGCGGGGTATCTCTCTCTGGTCTATCTCTTCGAGCGCCGCTCGCAAACCATCGCGAGCGGCGAACGTCGCTTGGTGGTTTTCCGAGCGAGCTTGGGAGCGCCATCGCGGGCCAAGGACTCCGGGAGATCCGCCGGACTCCGGGAGATCCGCCCATTTTCTTTGCAAAACACGACTTGAGGATGTAAAAGGCCAGGTTTTGTTGCAGGCCTTCCTCAAAAAATAGTGATTGACCGACGGTGACTGGTAATGGGCTACACCCTAAGTGTATACACCAGGAGTTTCAATGATGAGCCCCCGGAAACGTACATATCTCAGCCGAGTGGTCATTGTCAACGTGCGGCCAACCAAGGTCGATCCCAACAAACCAAATCTGGGAAAAGATACCATCACCTCAAGAACTCACTGGAAACGTGTTTTTGGTGAGCCGGCCACAGGGAGAAATCTCAGCACGGTTCGATGAAGTCGCCGCGCCAAAAACACCTGCGCCTGGTCATGCTCTGGTGGCAAGGCGGTCTCCACTGGCAAGAGCTCAATGGGGCCATTATGATGCGTGGCGGAGCAACAGGAATCCATGGCACTTACACGAAGACCACGGTGGGACACGAATGAAGGGTTTGCGATGGTTTGTGCCACTGCACTCAGCTTTCGACAGCCTTCCTTCTGCCGCTGTTTGGATTTCGACGAACTGCCACAATGTTCTGCCATCATTGAAATTAGGTGTAGGGCTTTGATGGGGCTTCTGGCGTGGACTCTGCCACTTCAATAGCACAGTTGCAGAAACTTACAGGTCTAGCCAAACTGATTGAGCTGGTAGTTGCATATGTACCCGAAGTACACCAAAACAGCCCTTGAATAGCTAAGCCAAGCTTTTAAAGAGTTGCAGCTGCAAAGCACGAAGTCGGTGTCCGTCGATGTCCGCCGTGGCAGCCAGACTCCCATGATTCACTGCATAGTCTATCCCTTCGCACGGCTAAGCACGGCCTGTCTGTTTGGGTGTCGGACTTGTCAGGGTCAGTGGTTTGCCCACCCCTGGGGCCCTTGGCTGAAAATATGTTGCATCATTCTATTGTCTTGTCATGTCTTTCTATTTGCCTTATGTTCATAATAATGCACATATAATGAAGGAACAGATATTAAATGATAATTACTCTAGACATCTCTAGACTCTAGAAGTGCAAAGGCAATTTTGCACTCCCCCGAATTAAAGGAACCCCCTTGTCGGGTCGCCGAAAACAGTCTTGGACTTCCAGGCTATTTACATTTCTCCAACAAGCATCCGGTGAAAGGAAGCGACCTAGTCACACTCCCATCAGTGGACTCCGACAGTCGTTGGCCAGTCTCCCCAGTCTCAGAGGCTCTGACTCCCCCGGTCTCCAAGTGGAACGCACGTCACTCCTGAACGGGTAAAATCCCGAACCACCATTGTTAGCATTGTTGCACTAAGGTTTTTGCACTACAATGCCAGGTCAACCATGTTTTTCAGTCCTTGGCCATGGGATGGATCTGATCTTGTCTGGCAAGGGGTGAACGGCTCCAGGTTCGGGCCCTCTGTTGATTGAGGAAGAGGATTGCCCTTCAAGACCCTAAACCCTAAGCCTCTCGCCGTCGCCCCCCCCCTCTGCTTCGTCCTGTTCGTAGCTGCCGAGGCCTGTCGGTCTTGGGGCTCTGAACTGATCCAAACTGTCGAGGCTCAGGAACCCCATGATCCCAGCTTACACGGCTTACCCGGCTGACGCTCACCACCGGAACGCGGAGGGGAGACACATGCAGCGAACTGCTCGTAGAGGCGAACATGAACTAACGTCTGAAATTTTACACGATGGTGTGATGCAACGGGTGGCGACTTCGTCTTCCTCTCACCAAAACCACGGAATTCCGGAAGTTACAGGAGTTCCTTCTCGCGAGCCGAGCTTGTGGAGGGTTCCCCCCTCCCCAAGCCGATGCGTGTCCTTTGAAAGAGGATGCTTTGTCCGGGTGGTTCTTAGACTGACGTCAGTCAGTGAGTGGACCGTCTACAATTCCGCCGTTTAAAGCATCCAAGCGTCGGTCGTCACCGTCGTCACCCAACCGCCGTGCTTGTCACCGTCTGATTCATCTGTGTCCCAAAAAGGCACCAAGTCCAAACATGTCCAAACAAAGCCCGGAGCCCCGTTCTTGGATTTACTCCCTGAATCCATAAAATTTGGCAAACAAATTCAGGCACGAGATGTCTCGCTCTTATCTTTCCTCCTTCCACCAGGAATAGGTCCTTCGAGTCGGGCGTTTTATTTTGCAGGTTCCCAATGCATATCACGGACCTCCTTCCATCTCGATCATGTGTACATGTGTATATAAGATGAAAAAGGCAAAGCTTTGAGGATTTTGAGGTCAAAGGCGAGTCAAAACTCCACTTAGCGAGATCTTCATCCTGCCCCTTCTTCCGCACCCTGCTCCCACCCCACAGGACCCGTCGGCCTGCAGCCCGTGTCACCGCGCACGGATGTCTACATCCTCGAGTGAGCTAAACACAGCGAAACACGGCTTGGGAGAACCATTCTGGGGCAGATTCTGCATAACATCTACAACAACGTGCGGAAGAAGAGCCGCAAAACAATGCAAATGTCATATGATTTCGTCCAAATTTATCCGGCCTCTCTGCGTCAACCCCGGATTTTCGGCCGCTGTTCAGCAGCCCGAGCTGGGAAAGCGCGTCAGTGCAAAAGGACACTGGGATAAAATGGCGCATAGCCATTTTCCACTATTCTTGAATGCTTGAGCCGTCTTGCATACAGCTGCAGTGAGCGATCAGTAGCACTTGCAAAATCAGCTCAATTTTGATGGCGATGATGTGACTGGCATATAACATATCTTGACTCTCCGATGTGTTTGGCCATTAGGGGTCATGTAGGCATATACACTTTTTCGCCTACATGGACAACATTGGGTGCATATTTATGCATGTATAATATACACCTACATTGGGATACACGGATACACTGTTATATTTATAAAAACAATATAAAATATATATAATATACAAGCGCGCAAACGCCATACAGGTTTTTTTTCCACCCGTGGAGTGGAACATGGGGTTTCTCGAAACCACTGAGTCACCCCTCACATCTCCACACCCAGGAGAG